CGCTGCAGCCGAGGTGGAGTCGCGGAGGAAGAGGAGTGTTGGTATGGCGATGCGCCACTCGCCCTATCCTCCGCGACTCAAACGGGGCCGCACCGTTGATGCGGTGGTGATGGGGCTGCGGGGGGGAGAGGATTGTCGGTATTGCGAGGCGCCGCTCTCCCTATCCTCCGCAGCCGAATCTTGGTTGGCGGCGGAGCCATAGACCAGATCCGCCGCTGGGGTCGGGAAGGCTAGTACTTCTAAGTGCTCGTTTTTCCTGGCCCCATGACCTTCGCGCATCGGACGCGGGGGCGTCTGTTGCGCAGATGTAATTGGAGGCCGTGGAGGAAGGCGTGCCATGTGTTCTGGTGCGCCTTACTTGGGAAGGAGAACGGGGAGGAATATTCCTCTCCCGATGAGGTGCTGCCATGGGGCGGCAGTCGCTGGTGGGGCCGCGGATGTGTGCGAAAGCGTTCCCGTAGCCCTGCCAATATGCGACGAAGGTGGAACACCATGGGGTTTTAGTCGGTGCGAGTCCGACATAACCCGTCCTTGCCCCCGCGAGGCGGGTATGCGTAGGCATTTCCCCATGTTAAAAAAAAAAAGGCAGCTCAAGATTATTATCTAAACTGGATATTCCCACTCTACCATCAATTATGTTATAATAATGTCATACCATTCTCTACTAACGTAAAGAACCTTGGTCTGTACATCGATGGTTGCTTAACATGGAACAAACATAAGTATACAGGAAGTGAGTCGCAAAACTACTGGAACTTTGCGATCTCTATATCGATTTAAAAACTTTCTTCCCACCAATACCAAGATTTTACTTGTCCAATCACTTATTGTACCGATAATTGATTATGTCGATGTGTATTGCTCAGACCTGTCTCAACTTCATCTTAATACATTGGATCGTCTGCTTAAGAACTGCATCAGATACATTTATGGTCTTCGTAAATACGACCATGTATCTTCCTTTCGTACACAGCTAAACTGGCTGCCTATCCGTCAGCGCAGATATGTTAGAATACTCTGCACCCTTTTCTCAATTTTGAACGATCCATGTGCTCCCGAGTATCTGAAATCTAAATTTCAATACCTGGGAGATTCCCATAACTTTTCTCTCCGTTCCTCGGCCAATCTTAAGTTGCTCACTCCTTTACACCGTACTGGTTATTTATCTCACTCTTTCGCCCTCATGGCCATCAGACTCTGGAACGACATCCCTCTTGACATTAAAAAAGCTACCAACAAATTCGTCTTTAAAAATCAAGTCCCTAAGTATATGATTAAATCGTTGCAAGTTTGAATTAACTTGGTTCTCTTTTTCGTATATATTTCATATTTGGTTTGACATAGATACGAACGTATTGTTTATATATATATATATATATATATATATATATATATATATATATATATATATATATATCCTCTGTATTTGATTATAAGATAATAAAATTTATATTATAATAAAAGAGACTTGAAACTCCTAAAAGAATTTCCTGTAGCCAAATAAGTCAGTGTTAGTTCAAGTTTCACTTAAGCTGGTAGGGCATCTCTCATAAACGTATCCTCACGTTGAATGAAGCTACCTATCAAGGATAGCAATTCAATTTATCCAGTGTCATGCTTAATAAAGCTGATTTGTACTCTTTGTAGTCTTCTGACGTTAGCTGGTTCATATAAAAAAATAGGTCTTCCAGAAATCTCTCTGACATTTATCTATTTTCCCACCCATATTCGCTTCTCCTCCATCAATTCTCCTCGTCTAGTAATTACGTCCCAATATTTTTAGAAAATGTTTTCAATTTCCTTCTTATTTGTGAAACACTTATTTTTTAACGATGCATATGTGTAGTTATCGCAACAATGTAGAAATGAATACTGGACGCGTGTAAACGACGCGATCCAGTTACCAGTGCCAGAACAGCACCGGTATCCAGTGATGCTAGCACCAGCTACTGTATCAATGTACATCAGCCATTATACAGTGAGAAAATACTGGCAGAATAGCAGCGATGCTAGTATAATGAAAACTAAAATCCTGGTCTCACGCTGGATTGTCGTACACGCTGGTGGTAAAAATAGATTTATTCCTGACGCGAAATGCTATATAAATGCAAAAGTAGGTATCTACGACAGGTGATTACCATCACGAAATGGTCACGAAAAATTTCACTAAGAGGCTTAATGAAAAGTTAATACCTAATTTGCCTCCAAACAGCATAGTTGTAATTGATAATGCGTTACGCCGTACCATTCTATACAGTCAGAAAAAATAACATGCCGGTCATGATTTTCAAGCGAGATGCAAAGCTGGTTGACAAAAAATAACATTAGTTTTGAAGCAAAAATGACAAAACCGGAACAATATAATTTAACTCTTGTAACTAAACTGGAAACAAGTATATTGAAGACGAATTGGTGAGAGACCAAGTTTTACATCTGCAACTTTACCATTGTGACTTAAATCAGATTGAATATATTTGGAATTTGATTAAGCAAAAAGTGGCTGGCAAAAATATCGATCAGTCAGAAAGAAAAATAAATAATTTGGCAAGAGTAGCAATTTAATTAAAAACGGCTTCAAATTGGAAGAAAGAGGTGAACCATGTGGAGATTTGAAAATGAGTACGGGGAAAAAGATCGCCTCCAAGAAGTATAAGAAAGTAAGTTGATTATTTCTCTTGGGAGTGAAGAAAGCAGCTCTAAAATTAAACAGGAAAAAGTTGACGACAGTAATAGCAATATGTCCGGAATAGAGCAAATTAATTACTGTAGTGATGATTAGCTTTTTGGATATTTTACATATTTTTTGTTTTATTTAACATGCAACAACATACATAAACTAGGGCCTGACCAGAAACCTGGCCTATATCACTAAATTTCTCATAATATTCATATCCATATTGTAGTGATCATAATACAGTCGCAATATCAAAATCATAACATAAACGAACAAAATTATCATCAATATTCCTTAGTTGATAGTCCTAAAGATTTGACTTACAAAATATTTTATATGTACATGAATACTACCTATACTATTTAATATCACTTAAAAAACAGTCAATTATAAGCATTAAATATGTTCGTAAAAAAATAGGAACAAAAGCTTTTTGCACTCTGTACTTTACAAAAACGTCATATGAGCCAAATGTCATGTTAATTCACCCGACAATGTATCCAGGGGCAATAATGCAGCAGTAGATACATAGAAACTTCACTTATCAACACGCTCAGCTTTGGATAAATCTAGTAAACTGTAGATATGCTAGGGAGGCCCTGCCTGAAATAAGCAGTTGTTTAACCAAGGTTCTACTGTAGACAAGCAAGGGAGGTCCTGCCTGAAATAAACAGTTGTTTAACCAAGGTCCTAATGAGATTGCACAAACCACAGATCTCCTGATCTGTGGTTTGTGCAAACCTATGGTATAAATGTTTTAACAAACATTTATACCATAGGTGTTACATATAATTGCAGGGCATGTATAGGGGAAGAAGAAATGGTAGCCCATGTGTTGCTAACATTTCCGGTGGATGCTGCATACAAGGCTAAACATCTCGGCACACCGGAATCACTCCTTGAAGTTGATCGTAAAATCAAAGGACTGTCGAACTTCTTTCGGGAGATTTCATGGATCGAATAATTACATTATTCCCGCCTACACACAGAATATGCGCTTAGACGTGGAGTTGTGAAAAACAGTCCCAATTTATCTTAAGGTCCTATGATAGATTATTTTCATAAAATTATCCCTAAAGCTCATGTTCTTAAGGGTACACTAGCCACTCATTCTTCCATACAAATGTAGTCTGGCAATTACTGCACTGTTTGATGGTGCATATACAAAATAAAAAATTATTTCAATTTGTTTCATCATTATCTAGTCCTGTATGGAAACAAAAAAGTATAAAAGAATATATTTAAAAGTACTAATTTTAACACATCTTTAGGCGGAAATAAATATTATAAGAACTAAAATTGCAAGACAGTTACTATACAGGGATAGATTAAGTGTTCAAAAGTGCAAATAATTTTATTTTGAACAGAAACATTCAATAGATTTTTCATGATATCTAGATTCCCAAAGGTCTGTTTATAAAATTTTGTATGCTCGTTTTGTTGTAAATCATTATGCCTTTCGCTTTCGCACGTGATGTCACCTCAGATAGCATGCATTTTAACCCTGCCTACCAATTAGTTCGTGCCATCAACTAAGGCCACCTTAAGGTAGAAAACACAGAATTCGAGGAGATTTCTGCAAAATGGGGAAAACTTATAAAAAGTACTATATATTTTTGCCCCACTGTCCAAATTAGTTATTATTACATCAACATTATCACATATCAACATTAGCACATCAACATCCAATAAAATGGATCTATCCAGAGAACATTACATTTAAAAGTAATATTATTTAAAAAAATATTCAAATTGGAATAAAAAAAATTGCAAGAAATCTGGGCAAAGTTGTATGGTTTTACACAGTAGGTACCTTCATTTGAATAACCAATTTTTTGTGCTATCTTTTGATAATTAATACAACAATACCAAAATTTATTTATAAAGCTTTAATTTAATTGCATTTTAGATCAAAGATGACAATTTAGTTTAACTGTGATTTGCTTGTAAAAAATAAATTTCACACAGAGGAGCACCACACTACACTCATAAATCATATGACCTTATTGGTAAGCCAGCAAAATGCATTATTTCCTTCCATGATTCCAAATGCAATGTTTTATGTACAGCAGTAATGCACTTGATTGTGAAAAGGAGTGATGTTCCACATACTACTATATAACACAATTATACCTAATCAACTATAAACTTATTTATTAATTTTTGACAATTTGTCTAGTTATTGTATTACATTTATAGTTTTCATTTTTTATGAAAATTTAAATTAATAATTATTCTAAATGCACTGTTATAATAATTTTAAGAAGTTCTTGTGTTATCTTTTTAATATATAACAAAAGTAAAAACCTATAACTACGTACTTAGACTATTTATTTTGATTTACATTACAAGGTACACAAAGGCCGACATGGCAGCCATGAGCAACATGCCTTCGATGTCCTTTCAGCATATTAGCAGCTTGTTCGATACGCATTACCAATCTGTGTTGATTTTCAAGTCTTTCTAAGCAATTATTGCAGATTGTTTTAGGTAAAGGATCTGATGGAGAAACCTGGAATTTTAATGTAATTAGCTTACAAAGAGCATTTGTTATTATTTTGAATTTATATAAATCAAAACTTACATTTATAGAAAGGTACCTATTGATTTTTTCAGATATACATAGACGAATGCCTTCCTGTCCGTAAATATGTAAAACTACACGATGCATTTCAGAGCACAATCGACATATAAAACCTGTTAACACACCTCGATCTAAGCTACCCATCTTGAAAGTTATTACAATTTTAAATTGCACTTATATTTAATAATAACAATATTTGTGTTTCTAAATAGTGATTGAGTATTTTTTGTATTGAAAATCTATATCTGAAAAAAATTAGAACTAGAGAACACGAAATTCTATCTTAAAAACAATAATAAACCAAAGAGTAACTAACTGTCCCATAAATAATAAACACAGATATTGTCAATAACCACAGATCATATATTAAAAGTACATATTAAAAACTTACAATCTATTTTTAATAGATATATAAATAAAAACTTTCAAAAAAACTTATAAACTCAAATACTTTCCAACGCACCCATTATATATAGGATTCTCTGTCTACGATTATAGAGTACTTCCATTGTAATGATATAATTAAGTTTTTTTATTGCTTAGATGCTTGTTGCTTGTCCTTTAAGCCTTATCTTCGTTTTATTCGGGATCTTTGTTTTTTAGATTTTTTTTTCAATATATGCTGATGCGTCACATAGCGAAGTTTTTGGGAGATTTTGAGGGTTGGCTATATATCCGGTACTTGATTTTAATTATGTTTTCGTTTAGGGGGTTTGTCAGAGTTAAGCTTGAACCTTTTACACTGTTTTTGGATTTCGGAAATGCCTTTTGAATTAATTAAGGCAAAAATAAATTTTATTAAAAATTGCATGTAACGAAACGCAAATATGTCAATTTGTTTTTTCTAACACAGATACACTCATAAAAAGTTAACTACTCGGACCCAAAAAATCCATTTGTGGCAGAAGACGGGACTCATATATAACAAATTGAGTCACAGTGGCGAGCAGTCAAGAGGTTTTTCAGAAAACAAAATTATAACAATTCACATTACATTATTTCATTTACCACTATCATAGCAGAGTTTAACCCATTCATTGCCACAAGCGTACCATTTGCGTTGATTGAGATTACTATAATTAATCATATCAATCATAATAATCATACCTCATAGTGACTTCTTGAGGTTTTTTACCTACTAGGTATAAAGGAAATACTAAAAAGGAAATCATATTCTATTAAGCAAGTTATTGTTATATGTTATTGTATTTATTAACTACATTATAAAATATCATCATCATCATCATCATTACAGCACTTCACAAGTCTACTGCTGAACATAAGCCTCCCCAAGGTATGCCACAAAGCACAGTCCTGAGCCGCCTGCATAAATCGACTTCCTGCATGTCTTACCAGGTCGTCACTCCATCCAGTGGGGGGTCGCCCTAAACTTTGCCTACCGATACGTGGCTGCCACTCGTAAACCTTTTTCCCCCATCAGAAGTCAGTTCTTCGAGATATATGGCCGGCACATTGCCACTTCAGCTTAGTAACCCATTACTCTATGTCGTTCACTCTGGTTCTACTGCAGATATCCTCATTTCTAAGTTTATCACGCAGAAAAACCCCGAGCATAGCCCTCCCCATGGCTCGCTGAGTGACTTTGAACGTCATCATTCGGTCAGCACTGAAGGACCACGTCTCAGATCCGTAAGTCATTACTGGCAACACGCACTGGTTATACACTTTAGTTTTCAGAGATTGAGGTATACCTGACGAGAAGATGTGTCGTAATTTCCCGAACGCTGCCCAGCCAAGTTGAATCCGTCGAGTGACCTCTCGGCCGAAGTTGGACTTACCTAGTGAGACTATTTGTCCCAGGTAAATATACTCGTTAACAACTTCGAGCTTAGTGCCCCCAAACAACTACCGGCATAGGTGTGACGTGGACGTTACACATGATCTTCGTTTTGTCCATGTTCATCTTAAGACCTATCCGTTGGGAGACATTATTGAGGTTACTGAGCATAGTGCTTAAGTCCTCCAGCGATTCTGCCGTAAGGACCATACTATCGTTGGCAAATCGAAGGTGAGTGATGTACTCGCCATTGATGTTAATACCGTATCCTTTCCAGCCCAGTAGCTTGAAAACGTCTTCCAATGCAGCGGTGAAGAAAAGACATAATATCGGTGTTACTAAATTAATTAATTTTGTCTTCCAAAATAATAAATAATAAAAAAATTCCCGTCATAGTTCTAAATCCAAGTTAGTTTATATTTGCTTCATACGTGAGGTTTATATTATAAGGAGTGATAGTAAAAAATAGAAGTTTATATTTGTTTCATTAGACAACACTGAATCAAATTGAAAAGTGAAAAATTATTTAAGAAATATGTCCGCCGAATTGTGCATGTGCTTCTTTCTTGTTATTTCGTATTTTTGAGTGTTTTATCGTAATTGCTTTTGTATAGCACAAAACGTAGGGCTCAAGAATGTGCTTTAAGTTAGATTTTGTAATTGGTGCAGTGACAAAAATAAAATAAAAGACATCAAAATAATATGTTAATTTCAATCCTGTAATTTTTATGATAGTTTATAGTAAGTTACTTTCTACATTATGTGCAGACAACATGGAATTTTATAACATCTTATGTTTTGGTGTTATTTTATTTTCAAAATATCATCTTGTTGAAAATTGTGAAATAAATATGTTAACAATACTGAAAATCTTTCTTTTTGTCTAAGTCCTTCAATTTATCGAGAGTATTTATGCCGATTTCTAAGTAACGAACAGTGTTTTTATTGTTATTTAGAAATCGACAAAATGCTTAATAAAAATAACAATATGAAAGGAGTATGGTATAGAGGTTTATATATATATATATATATATATATATATATATATATATATATATATATATATATATATATATATATATATATATATGTATACATATATTACAATATCTATAGTTATGTATAATTGAAGTAGTAGTTAATAAACTAGCTTCCAGGCGGCGCTGTTGTTGCGGCAAATTTTTACGTTAGAGATTTTTATCTATTTCCGTATATACACTCTTATCTATGATTCTTGATTTGACCATGAAAAAAGATTTAGTGAATTATGAGATAAAAGTAATCAATATTCTTGATTTTTTCTTTCTTTTCCATTGTTTCGTCGTGTATTTGAAAAATAAAGTCACATGCACGCATACGGTCCGTTCGTTGGCATAGCAGTAAAAAACTTTGTGGGGTAGTTTTATGGATGATGCAGAAGGAACAAATCACTCCAAAATTTATGCAATTCTAGTATTTTTAATCTTTTTTACACTCAAAGTTAAATTTACTATTGGTAATGTATTTAATTACGAAATATTTTATGAGCTGGCCGTTACATTTTACAAATAAAAATATAAGGTTTAAATAATGAATCCACAGGTAGAAAATTATTTGTAATACTTCCACAGTAGCATTAATAGTATCCAAGGCCATTACTCCATACGCCGAAATCTTCATTGTAGTGCTTACGTATCGACTTCCTTTTATATATCTTCAAATACAACTGCTGACCTCCACTCACAACATAATTCGTAGGAACGTTTTAAGTTCCTGCTTATTCCTACTAACATTTCGATTAAATATTCATTATGAAACAGATGCTGGCAGTGTTCACGAGTCTCTTTAGCATGTTTTTTAAATAAAATATTTTCATTAAATGTAAGATTAATCTTTTCTAAATGCACCGATCATAACCTTTCTGTTTTGGACACGTTAGTACGCTCGATGAAAATAAAGTACATGCGCAATGGCTAGAACACACTTAGGTCCAAAAAATAGAGAAAATCCATATATTTTTTAATTTTATGTTTAATAAGTAGGTATGTGGAAAATAAAAACTAGTTGTTTAAAGATAATTATTATTTGTGTGAAGATTTATATGATAGATTTTTATTACTTAAAATATGATTGTTTTAAAGAGTACCACAACTATTAATTGTAAATTTTTTATTTTTAATAATAAATGATTTTCTTCATGAGTTTCTCTCACTTTTATTGCTTATCAACCTACGTATAATAAAATAGTCAACCCACTCAAAGGTCATCCAGAGAGGTTTTTATTGGGTGCCGTAAATGTAACAATATATATAATAGTGCCGTGTAGTGGCGGTTGAGAATATCCACTACCCCATATCTTCCCGTGGGTGTCGTAAAAGGCGACAGAGGGAGACAGGCAGGAGATGGGCAGCAGCATCTTCCTGATAACAACTGTGACGTAATAAAAAAACTGCGGTTGCCAACCCGCTCGCCAAGCGTGGCAACTATGGCAAATACCCCCCAATGAACAAATACACAAACAGACGGCCCCCAGTCCCCGGCGGCCCCGCTATTCCTGGCTACGGTGGCGACCATGGTAACGGCGGGGCAGGGGGTGCTAAGAATCTCCGGTGGAGGTTCGGTTGCCACCTACGACGACTCGACCTGGCAACATATAACGCACGCACCCTGAGGACTGACGAGAAGATACTAGAGCTGGAAGAAGAGGTAGACAAGTTGCGCTGGCATATTATTGGATTATCCGAGGTCCGAAGAGAGGGGGAGGACACGGCAATCCTCGAGTCCGGCAACTTGTTCTATCACCGGGAGGGCGACCATCTGTCCCAAGGAGGTGTCGGATTTATCGTCCACAAGTCTCTCGTCAACAACGTTGTAAAGATTGGGAGTGTGTCGACGAGGGTCGCGTACCTGATACTCAGAATCACCAAACGGTATTCGCTGAAGGTCATTCAGGTTTACGCACCAACCTCGGCACATCCCGATGAGGAGGTGGAGGAAATGTATGAGGATATTTCCAGAGCCATACATTCCTCCAAAACCCACTACACGGTGTTGATGGGAGACTTCAACGCAAAACTAGGCACAAGAGAAAGCGGTGAGCTGAAGGTAGGGAAATTTGGAGTAGGGCAACGGAACCGAAGGGGCCAGCAGCTGGCCGACTTTATGGAGAAAGAGGGACTCTTTATGATGAACTCTTTCTTCCAGAAGCGGCCCCACAGGAAGTGGACCTGGTCGAGCCCCGACGGTTCGACAAAAAATGAGATTGACTTCATTATGACGACCAGAAGCCAACTGTTCAGTGATGTCTCAG